CATGGCCAGGTCCTCGCCCAGTGCAGTCACCTCTATGAAGTTCTCCTCCACGTCGATCATCTTGCACAGCACATGGTACTCATGGGAGACAGTCGGATTGGCGGGCTCATTAGCACACGATATGATAATCTGTAATAGCAATCCCAATGGCATTTACACAAATCGGTGCATGTGTGGGCGATATATGTATATGATACTCCAGATATGCCTCATGCAGAACGGCATTTCGTTGGGGGAAATGGTTTTGGGTGAGGGTGCCAGAAGTAATTTATTTGCGATTGATATTGTTTAGCACGCACATGTCAAGCAATCGAAAAAACTTACAGCGCATCGGGAAAAAATAATGATAGGTTTGTTAATCTATGTTGTAGTATAGACACATGTACATACATATGTATACCTGGGTACGGGCAGCATGCAATTTCCAAAACTCAAAACAGAAAAAAATAGTTTTCAAAATTGGTTGATTGATATTATTCATGCAGTGCATACTAAGCAGGTCCTTAAGAGGCCTGATAGGTCGATCACCTATTTAATAAATATTTCTGTCTCTCTTCGCTCTATTTTAATTATCTGTGCAGCAATACTTAAAATGTGATTTGTCAGCATGCAAATGTACACGGTAAAGGATTTTAGACCAACTTCTTTGAACTAATGAAAATTGTAGAATTTCTTTTCAGATCATATATGAATCTTTGTATGAAAAATTAGTTTAAATAATAATTAAATAATTTCATGTTGGTAATCTCTAATTATTTGTTTTCATGCTGTTAATGTTTCATTCAGATTCAATTTTTTAGCCGTGTACAAAGTGAGATAGACTATTTTAAAAAATCGTTTGCATTTACAGAAGGGCATGCACAAGATGGTATATACATATATGAGGTTCATGCATGGGAACCAGATTTTCAGTTGGGAGAACAACTGTTAATCCTGATAAAGTCCTCCCACTCACCTTGCAGTGGGCTGGCAAACGTGTCGGTATCCAGGATACCTTATTTGAATCTTGGGTGCCCGTCAATTGATCAACAGAATCTAAGTATATAGTTAACGGCTGATTGGGGCTAGCGTAAGTTAGTAATTGCTTAAAATGTGCTGTTAGGGGTACAAGATCATCTGGTATGTTCTCAAAGGGTAGCATATAGTTGTAGGATATCTGCATTGTTTACATACATAATATGTAATATATATGTATAAGTTTTGGATAGAAACACGATATTGATAAGTTTGTTGGCTGTAAATAATGGATTGATATCACCTGCTGGCATATTGATATGAGGGTAGCCGTCAAGGCGCTAGAGTCCGGAGTCGTGCCAAGGAAGCGGATGATATTGATGGGTCGCTTATCGGCGAACCATTCGCTAGCTACAAGAGAGGCGCTCTTGGCCAGCAATGAAGTTTTTCCACAACCTCCGTCGCCAAAAAGGACAAGTGGCTTATCTGAATCCCCCAGCATATAGCGCTTGATACGCTCGCAACTTTCTTCGCGGCCGTAAAAGATTTTCACCGAATTGTTACAAGCATGCAAATGCTGAAGGATCTCAGTTACTATCTGCCCCTGTGCACTGGAGTCTTCCTTGCGCATGGCCCTATCCACGAGCTTAACAACATTCTTATAGAAGTGCGAAATGAAATGATTTAAATACTCCTCATGCGTCTCAATGTCCAGGCCCTCGCGGCCAATCCACTCCACAGTATATCTGAAAGTCGGAAATTATTAAGTTATGATTCAATATTTCATAATGTTCTTATTTACTTTTGCGAATTGCTCGCCTCAATTTTAGCGGGTAGACGCGTGTCCCTCAAGTCGCTCAACAATTTTGCAGACTCCGTGTCCAAACTACGATTTATAATGTCCACAAAGAGTGAGGCCTTCTTCAGGTTTTGCAAATTAATGTTGTTTATGTAGCGCACATAGGCCAGACAATGGTTTTTGGTATTCTTCACGTTCAGAACTCCATTGATCACCTCACGTTCAGTGACTAAGGGCATAATTCGTAAGTGTTCAGTTCAGATGATCTTTGTCACTTCTAGTTTCCCTTACCTGACATAAAATAGTTGTGAACATCGTCCTTTGACATCTTATTGCTAGCGCCCAGCGAGGCGGCAGCCTTTCGTAGCAGCTTTTGCATCTTGTTCAGCGTATCCCACCAGACGGCTTGATCCTCCGCCTGAAGCTTCGGAACGCGCTATATAAGAGATGAGTGTCAGTTAGTCATATTGGGTATTTGCCCTATATAACCTAATATATACCTTGTTATTGAAATTGATTAGAATAGATGATATTGGCTGCAACACCGAAATAGGCGGCACTGCATTGCTATCCTTTTTGTACCATAGATCGAGTAGAGCACGATCCACCCCCATTGAGGTCAACTCTTCGCATATCATTTGCAGTTCCGAGGAGACTATATATGTGGGTATCGGCCGATAGCCGTACTTTTGACCCAAAAACACAATAAAATTGGGTCCCATCGACAGGCGCTGGCAATTTTTGATCTCACGCATGCAGAGCTCTGTCGTCATATGATCGTCGGTGGCCTCATCTCGAACACCCCAACGCATGTCCACCACTTGGAACTCGAGTCCATGTTTTTCCCGGCAATAATCCTTGATTCTGGGATAACACTTGGCCATCAGCGTATTACGTTCCATCGTAGTATCTGCAAGGGAATACACGCGATTATGTAATCGTAAGCACCCACACACATGTTGTAGAACATTGCGTATGTAACACACCCGTAAACGTGGAGCTCGTAAAGATACGCACAATTTTCGAGCTAACCGGCGGCAGGGACTCGAGCGAGCCCAAGAATATCGAGTCTATAGTGCGATCATCCATGATTAGGATGCTATTTGATCGGATTTACTGTAATTGTGCGCTGCCGGAGCAGCTTTTTCTAGGACGTTCCGCTGAGGTTGAAATCCAATCTATGTCTGCACCAAACGGAGACCCAGAAAGTTGTCTAAAGTTCACATTATATTACTTGCCGCTGTTTGGTCGATATTACGGATTACGGACATGTGGCGCATTTGACAGTCGCCTAGTTGACGGGTTGTTTTGAGTTCAGCTTGACTGACACGCCAGGGTGTAGTCGACAGCCCAGCAGTAGGCAGTTCCGTAGCCACGGGCAACACCTGTTGCGACCCGGCGCCTGCTTTTGTTTTGATTGGTAAGCGGTTGAGTTTGGTTGTGTTTTGGTTATTAGTCATATTTATAGCTGACATCTGCCTACATTCTGATTGATGTTTACCGTATTCCACTTTATTACAACAAGTGTTTTCAAGTACTGTCGACCCTCTGCGACCGTGACGTCGACAGTTGCGTGCTTGCCACACATTCTCAGGCGATTGCGTTGGCGTTGTTGGAACTTTCAAAGTCGCTATTTAATGGGCCATCGGTTATGGGTGCGACTTTTCTAACTACCCCTCCTTCTCCGCCCGGCTCCTTAGCTCGGCCACTAGGGCATGGGTATGTCTTAAGTTTTCTTCAAGTTGTCAATCATTGGCCTCGACCTAGACACGTGCGTGCCTAGGCGAATAAATCAATGGCAATGCAAGGCAGGTGGCTCAATTTAACTAAATTTCGAGTTCAATGTGTGCCATTTATAGCACTGGCATTTGATGAGTACAGCTAAGTTTATGGGTCAAGCAATTGAAGGCAGTATGAGCTAGTTATCTGGTACCTGGTACAACTAGTCAGATTATCGACAAGTGCAAATCCTTGTTTATACCATTTGACTATGCTTAAAGTTGGCTTACGAAGCACTTAAACTGCGTGCCGAATTAATTAAAGAGTTGAAGGATGTTTTTAGACTTATTAATATAGATCCACAATCTAAAGTTAACACTAAAATAGAATGTAGAGTTAATTATACTTTTCCAAAAGTTTCTAGCACCCTTGGTCCCTTCATAATATTCCCATTGCAAACACATATCTTGGGTTTTATAACAATATATTTATTTGTCATTTTCTGTTTTTATTTTTTTTTTTTTAGTTTTAATGTTGATTTTTGTGAATAATTTAAGCTTGCAAAAGTTTCTTTCGTATTCCAATATATATGCTTCTTTATCTTTTAAAGTTATATGAAGAATGTTGCTAATTTGTCTTGAATATCGGATGCTGTCGGCCGTATGCAAAATATTTACCATGGGCCTCTTGATAAAGTTATGTGTATGTATTAAAAATTTAGTTCAGTAGAATTTAGTGTAGTAAAACGTTTATTATTTCGCATATTATGCAAACTTGTCTATGATTTTGAAACGCGTTTAACTAATTTCATTTAAGTTGGCTATAGGAAAATGGATTATATACTATAGGTTTTTATTGTTTGTTAAATATATATCAAACGTTAGTTTCTTTTTCTTTTCGAGGAAGGATAAAAATGTTAAATCACTTTCTTTTTTGTTTGATTATAGGGACTGTCGCGCAAATTAAATTAACTAAGATTCCATTCAAATGGAAACTGCATTACATATTTTGTTTATTATATTTATATGTAGCTATATTTCAATAATAAATAGTTAAACATATTGAACTAAACAGTAATCAAATAATAATAAAAATAAAATAAAAACAAAACTAATTAATATTACAGAGAGGGAGAGAAAAAACACGTAGTATTGCAACTGCTACGCATAGAGATGATTCTAGGGTATTATTCAGCCAGCGGTTTCGCGTCCATTTTGCAGGATCTTTGCTGATGTTGCTGCTGCACTTGTAGCTGTTGCAATCTTCTCTGCGGATGCTGAAGATTTCGTGTCCGGTTTTTGGTCCGGTATGGCTTTAGCCGCCAGTGCCAGTTTGTGAATATGTGGCGACGATGGCGACGTCACTGTTATTCTATAATAAGAAAAAGCTAATGGTTTACACGCACACACACACGCATACGCACGCACACCAAGAGAGGGAGGGCGCAGTTTGTTTTGGTTTTGGATGGACGTTTTGGAAGGCGGGATGTGTTTTGCATAAAAATATTTACAAAAGCATTTCGTTTTATGATTTTTGTGTGTCGTTTTTTTTATGATTTTGTTTTGGTTTAATCGCATTGATGGCGGGAGGCGGCGTTTGATTTTGTTTTGTTGATTTCGGGTCAGTTTTGGATGTGGTTGGCATGGTTTGTAGTTTGTAGTTTGCATGTATGAAGTAATTATGTTAATTAGATAAGCCGGCAAATAGCAACAGACCTTACAAGCTAAGTAGCTAGCTAGCTAGCTAACTAACTAGTGATAGTTATACATATGCATAAGTATTATCGAGCTAATGCGACTACGGTGCTTAGTGCTTGTGCTGCCTGCTGTTTGAGTTGACTTCGTTATCAGCGTACCTAGGGCTGTTGTCGTCCTTTTCGCAGATCAACGTGCGTGTGGTGCTTGGTGGGATAATGGGGCCGTTTAATGACTGCTGTGAGCTCCGCTTTACATGCACGGGTCGCAGTCGCTCCTCCAAGTCGCTCACCGAGCCCACCGAGCTCATACTATCCTCACTGCAAATTTATTAAAGTTTTGGTTTATCTTCATTCTTGGCAAATCAGAATCTTTATTTACCTCTCGCTTAACTCTTCCTCGCCCTCCTCCTCCATGGCCTGCTGTAGGTCCGCGATGCGTTGCAGCGCCAGGCGTAAATCGTTCTTTAGTGCCAAGCCCTCGGATTCCATGACTTCCATTTTCTTTTCCAAATCCTTGCGACGCGTCAACGACTCCTGCTCACGACTGGACAGCGCGTGATATTCCTCGCGCATGTCGCGCAAGCTCTTTTGGGATTTTTTGAGCATTTCCTGTGATTGCATTTCACGCAGCTTCGACTGAGTTACTTCGTTCTGGAGCTTCTCCAACGCCTCCTTATGTCGGCTGACTTGCACCTCAAGACGCGCACGGGTCGCCTGCTCTAGTTCCAGGCGGGACTCCAGCTCCTTGGTGCGCATTTCCAATCTGAAATATAATGTTAACTTTAGCTGCTTGTTTGACGATTAGAATTGACTATCATACTGACCGTTTGGACATTACAGCTATGCTCGGATCACCCAAATTCTCCACATTGTCCAGTCGGTGCTGCAAATCAGCCACCTGCTCTTTGAGATTGTTGCGTTCTGCTTCGAGTTCAGTCAGCTTAAATTCCGATTCGGATACGTTGACTTGTTCCGCGTTGAGCTGCTTGACGGTGGCGCTGTACTTCTTCATAAGCTCGCTCAGCTCCTCCTCGTTCTCCTCGATCTGCGCCTGCAGTTCAGCACGGTCGCGATGTGCCGCATTGGCGCGCTCCTCGGCATCGTTGCGAGCCCTATGTGACTCCTCGAACATGGCCTGCACCTCGGCCAACTCAGCTTCGGCTGTCTGTCGCGCCTTCATGGCAAGTGTGCGAGCCGATTCCGCGTCTTCCAGCTGATTGCGCAGCTGTCGGATGAGCGTCTTTCCTGGAGTATCCGCCTTCTGTCGCTCCAATTGCGTCTGGGCATCCTTCAGTAATGCCTTGTACTTGCGCAAGTCGCGTCGCAGTTTTTGATTCAGTGCCTCCTCGGCATCTCGATCGACACGATCGCGATCTTCCATTGAAGACAGCCGTCGCTCTAGCTCGTGCTTTTCGCGCAGCAGCAATGTGCGCTCTTCGTGCTCCGTCTCCAACTGGCACTCAAGCGCCTTGATCTTCTTGTAGCTGTTGCCACGCACCTCCTCCAGCTCTTCATCGCGCTGCTGCGACTCACGACGCGCCTCCTTCCGCATGGTCTCTAGGGTCATCTCTAGGCGCAGCTTGGCCTGCTCCAGCAGCTGTATTTGCCCAGCCATTTCGTCTAGCTCCTCCTCCTGCTCCTTAACACGACGTTCCATTTCGTTCTTAGAGCGTCGGAGCTGGGCGAACTCCTCCTCGGTGCCGCCACCAAATGTCATCTCTTCCAACTCACGCTGCAACGACGCCAATTTCTCTTCCTTCAGCTCCAAATCTAGACGCGTATCCTGCAAACGAACCAACAATGTAAGTTTTGAGTATTTACAACGAGTCACACAACATTTGCCCCATTTTCACAATTCACATACTTGAATCAGCCGCGTTGCACATGTGGCGCTGATACTCATAGCTGTACTTGAGCACTGAGTAGTATCATAAAAGCGTTTGGATATGAAAATGGAAAAGGTTCTTTACAAAAAAAAAAATAACATAAAAATAACTAAAAACGGGGCAAAGCTCTGTCCGGCTAGCTATCACGCGGCCCCAGTCGAAACTCTTCTACTTATTATGATTATTATTATTATTGTTGTTTTTAATTTCTTTTTTTTTTTTTTTTTTTCGTGGAACTGGTCGGTTTGTAATGAATGTGCGTTTGTCTGTATGCGCGTACTCCAGTTATCGCGCGCCGATGTCGACGTTCATGCAGCCACTGCCCCGGTCAGAGTCATCGTCAGCTATCGTCGATCGTCGCTGAAGAAAGCCACAAAGCGCAGAGGCAGAAACGTGTGACGCAAACTCTGCCTCCAGTACAGCCCGATAAAAACATGAGAACCCAAAACAAACAAGGCAAAAACAAAACAAAGTCGAAGTTCTAATACCCTAAATATAAAAGTCTATCGAAAATTGTAGTAATTGTTTTCGGTTTTAAATCGTAGGGTTTATACAGTTATTTTTCTCCTCGATTGAAACTGATCCAGCATAAGTACCTTAAATAGTAACCAGGACACGTTTGCTTACAAATTATATGGTAAATTCACATTAGGCTCTTGAAAACCCAAGCAACTCAACTGAAATCGACTTAACTGAACGAAAAACCTTCCTAGAATGCACGAGAAAGAGCATGCGACAGGGTGTGTAGAGCGTGAAGCGTGCAGCATGTTGCATGCATATGGTGTGGGCAGGTAGTTGAGAATTGCCATTGTATACACGTATTTTACGGACAGACTGTCTGTCAGTCGGTCAGGCAGGCAGGCAGACAGTTAGTCAGCCGGTGGCGTGGGTAAACAAGCCGAACGAGTTTTCAAAGAGGCAGGTCTTCAGATACTATACTGCCTATACAAATGTACATATATCTGTATCTGCCGCAAAATGTTGAATGTGCCACTGGCACAACTGGCAGTGCCACTTGTTGTTGCCAGAGCTGATTATAAAACCGATTTGTATGCTTGCCTGCTTGCGTTTTCATGCTGTCTTGCTCTCGAATTCCAAATGTTTCCTACTTTTTTTTTAGTATCGCCTTCTTTAGCTGATTTCCTTTAGCTAGAATCGTGCTAAGCGCTGCGCAACATTTCCAAGTGCTTAGCAACATTTGTTTAGCCGCTTAGCAACATTTGTTGCCAACATTGATGTTTACGCAACAAGAGATGGCAACGTTTGCTTGTGATTCACGCACGAAATGTTCGTGCGGACTTAAATGAATTGTAGGTGCATATTTTATCATTTAAACACTCCATTTAATTGTGCGGCTAAAGTAAAAGGTAATTGCTGCAGATGTTTTGCTCAAAATCAGTTTTATGGACCTCTTTGAATTGTCTCCATTTAATTCAACATTCAATTTAATTGCGACTAAATAATCATTCAGACTCTATTTTATATATGTACATATGTATGTGAATGTATAAATTTGTATTATATATGCATATTCATATCCGTTTTACTCACCGCCAGTGTTTGCTCGAGCGTGAATTTCTCGGCTTGGAGCACATCTTTCTCGCGTCCGTACCGCTCCTTGGCCTGGCGCTCCTGGCGCGCTGCATCCTGCAGGGCTTGACACTCGGCATCGAACTTGCGCTGCTTCTTCTCCAGCAAATTGTTTCGTGCATTTTGCTCCTCGAGCAGCATGCGCAAATCATTCATCTCGTTGGTCATCTTTTGAGCCTTGCGTTTCCATTGGCCCACAACCTGACGTTGTTCCTCAACTTCTTCGTAGGCATCGGAAAGCTGAAATTGGCATAAAAACATTCAGTTTGTATTACATAGTCTCTGGGTTGAGAGTATAGAGAGAGCAGACCTTCTTCTCCAATTGCTTTTTGAGCCCGACCAGCTGTTCCAGATCGTGCTCGTGTTGCGTCTGTAGTCGGCGCTTCGTGAACTCCAGTTCTCTGGCCACGCGTTCGTATTTTAGCTTGTAGACTCCACCGGCGCCCTCTTCGTGCTCGGCATCTTCATCCTCGGAGATGCCATTCAAGTCGGACTTGGCGCATATCAACTCCATTTCCAGTTTCTCACTCATCTCCTGCAGGTTCTTTACTTTCGCCTGACTCTCCCCGAGCTCCTTTTCGAGCTTCAGGCGTTCGGCAGTCTCCGCTTCCAAGCGCTCGGTGGCAATATGAGCCGTAGAGCGCTCCTCCGCCAGATCAACAGTCAGTTCGGATAACTGCGAAATGAGAAGAGCGAAGAAACGACATTAATTTGGCGTAACAATAGAAACATATAAATATTGAATCATATGAAATTGTTAAACTGTGTTTTTTGACTCGACAGAAAATCGCCAGTAAATTCTTTGTTTAACTTGTTTAATATTGTTTCCATTTGGCATATTTGTAAACAGCTGAAACGGCCTGCTAAGTTGCGCAAATGACCTCAACCCAAAAATCGGTCAAAGTAAATGGTCGAAAATTTCTCAAACTGATTTCAAACAATTTTGTTATTACTTAATTAAAAGCTGAGCAATATATTATACATTAATGGTTTCGATCTTAAATGACAGCAAATTCTTTGCACTGAAGAATTTATCAGTTAAGCGAATGCCGTAACAATAATTAATATATAGTATATATTTGGGAAAATATTTTTCCTTCAAGAAATTGTAGAAATATATACATATATATTGCTGCATATTTATAATGAAATATATATGAAACCAAATTAATAAAAATAATAATAGTATATATATTTATATTTTGTACATAAGCTCTTCATTTTATATTATATAGCCCTGGTAAAAAATGCAAAGGAATATTCTTATTAAGATTTCAAATTCAAAAATAAACTACACTTTCAATTTTTTTAAAATTTAGTTGAGACTCTGTGAGTACCTTGCCCCTGGCCTTCTGAAGCAGATTTATAAGTACCAATAAAATAACATTAAATCATTATAAACAACAAATGTATCTATGGAATATTTCCTCAAGTTCTACAGCACCCAAAGAATTCGTGCTGTGTGATTCACGCATTATTTTGTTGTGCTCCAAAAATAGATGGACCTGAGCATCTATCTGAAGTGAACCGCTAACTTTAGCAACGCCTCGACGTCAACGTCAACGTCGACGTCGACGTCGACGTCGGAGGATGCCGCAGTCAATGTCAGCCGCAACGCTGTTGCATGGAATTGGAATTCTCAACCATATGTTTACTTAAGAATCATTTATATTTATGTGCTCAAGACAGACGAGACCTGGGCAGATCGGAGCCATCATACGAAATGATGTCAACTGCCCACACACACTGAAAAATCACGCATCAAATGAGCAGCAAGCTCAAGGTTAGCATCAGCAGCAGAAACTACCTCATCTAACTCATTGACATCCTCCTCACGTATGGTGCGATCGTCGTCATCATCGCCATTGATTGCATTGGACATCACTGAGGTGGCCACCGATGATTCCCTGGCCATTGAGTTGCCACGCGACGTTGGCGTGTGTGGCAGCTGTTTGGAGAGCTGGAACGCCTTAGTCAGTATATTTTGTGTGGAGCGTGTGCGTCCCACAGAGCCGCAGCGTTCCATGCTGTTGCGCTCGCGCTGTCGTTCAATCAGCGAGATTGTATCGTAATCATCGTAATATGCCGAGCTGGGCGTGCTGCAGCGGCTGCTGTAGCCGCCCCCAACTCCGCTTATGCTGCCGTTGCTGCTGTTGTTGGTTTGGCGTCGCGTGCGCCGTCCCATGGCTGCCCATTCCTCCTGCACATGGTCGGTGCGCTTGAGAAAGTTTTGTATCTTCTCGCTGAGGTAGGCGGACGAGGTGCGCGGATCCTCAAACGAGGGAGTCGGCCGGAGAGTTTGATGCACCGGTTGTCTTTGGCAGCCCAAAACAAACGACAGATTTGCATCGAAGACCACCGGCGAGCTCTCCAGCTGACGCATCTCATACGGATCCAGGCCACTGCCCTTGGTATAGGTCTGGGGGAAGACGCGACGCGGCGGCGTCTCCAGTCGCGACGTGCGCGAAACGCTGGACTGCGTGGAGCAGCGCGATGACATCGAATAGGCGGGACTGGGCGAACGCGTCAGCAGACGCAATCGATCTGCGGCAGCATCGGATGCCGAACCCCTGCCCGTGCTAGTGCCTGTACCTGTACCTGTGCCTGTGCCTGTGCCTGTTGAGAGAGGCAGTGTCAGCGAAACCTCGTAGTGGCTGTCAGTAGTCTCCTGCTGGCAATTACCCAGGCCGGACGTTGAAAGCGACTGCGAGGTGGTGGTGCTGCTGCTGTAGTTTGTGGCACGTGGCGTGTAGCTGTTGGTGTTGTGATGTGTGTTGCGTGTTGTGGTGTTGCCGTGCCCATTGCTCAGCGCTTGCACAGGACTCTGCTCGCGCTGCTTGGGCAGCAGACGTATCTGCTTGCGTGCCTGGCTGCTTGGCGGTTTCGGTGGTTTCAGTGTGCCCAGCGAGGAGCCACTGCCACTGCCGCTGCCACTGCTGTTGTTGTTATTTTTCGTTATACCATTCATGGCTGCCAATACGCGTGCCATAAACGTCTCCTTGTCCTGCTCCGGTTGAGACTCTAATTGGTGTTTAAACACATCACTGGCTGCTGGCGGCGCTGCAATGTCAGCACTGTCAGCAAGGGCTGCATCGACAGGCGCCAGCGGTGCCATTGGGGAGGGGTCAACAAGGGGGCTTAAATGCGTGTTAATCAGGCGATAGTACGAAATGGGTTAGTGGGCTTTGTGGTGGAGGATTTCGTTTTGGTTTTGTGCAAATCTGGTTGAGCCAATTCGTTAATTTCGTTTTGAGTTCGTTTTTTGATTATGGATCGCTTTAAGAGGTTCGGGGGGATATCTTTGTCAGATTTTACGTGCTGTCAAAAACTTGAGATCGCTTGCTGGCAAATATTTAAATTTATCGCAAAAGCCCCATTTATTTTGGCTTAAGCATCAAATTGCCAATATGTTGCTTCTTTTCTTTTTTCTTTCTTTTTTTTCTGTTTTCCTAATGTTTTTATTTTATTCTTGGCACCGATTTCCTATAGCACACACGCACGCAAACGTATCGGATTCGGATTCTGATTTGCATACGAATTCGGATACGGATCTCGCGGCACGGCTCGGTGTTGGGCGCCTCCGGCGTTCGCGTCGCGACGTTTGCTCAGCAACTAACCGAATCTCTCTGGGAACGGCGGCCACTTGCGATGCGTGACCAGAAAAGCTCACCGGGGCAGCCGCTATTTGCCAAATATTCAGCAGCCACAGAGAAGCTGAGAGCAGAGACAGATGCTGAGAGCGAGAGAGATTGAGAGAACCGACGAGCGTCTGTTCAAGGAATTGCAACATGGATCGTCTTTATATTGACATAATCTCAAATAGATATAAATATACATATATACAAAATGTATGTAATAAGCAGAGACAACTGTTGATTTGCTCAACGTTTATATAAACGAATGACCAACATGTGGATCGGAGTTGCAACACGAGTACAGCAGCGCTATAATGTATTATTAATGATCTTTCAGAGCATTTAAAAATACATACAACACACAGTTCTTAAGTGCAGAGATACACAAATGTATACATATTTAGAGTATATATATATAAAGATGTGAGTTTGTACAAAATACGTATACCCACCCAGCCAGTGTTCAATGGACTCACGCATTGCCCAGAAGCTATTTATATTTTACAATAAACCAAACAAGAGGCGGAAATATCGCCAGATCGCAGTCGCAACTCATTTGTATCTATCACCGAATGCACTCATTGCGAATTTGCCATTAGCCAAATGCGTCGCAGACGTTTAGAAGTTTTCAATGGCATTACGGCGTGCACAAATTGAAAGCACTTTAATTCTGCTTCAGTATCATTATCAAATTTGGTCATTCGCGTATTAGCGCTGTGCAAGACATATGTTTAGATAATCACATGTGTACTAAGTTTAATGGGTCTTCAAATGAAATGATTCAAAACTAGTCAGCCAAAAATACAGAGTATTAACTTGTATATTGTATGTACATATATATATGCAAAAACTCATTTAAGACAGCAATTAGTTTATGCATTTTCCCCATTAGTTTGTCAATGAGCCACCACTGTGCAGCAAATGAGCATACAAGCATACTATATGCAGACATCATTCATAGAAGAACTCAGCATAACATAAAGCATCATTCGGCTAAATGTTTGCACCACTTGCCTACCCAAATCTTGGCGCCCCAGATAATTGTCATCTGAGCTAACGTGGGCCGCAGCAGCAGCAGCAGCAGCCACATGTCATGTCATCCGTGGTTGCGCAATTTTAATTAAAAGCTAATGTGAAGCATTGCCCTGACTGGGGGTGAGAGAGCAAGCGAGAGGCGGCTAGTGCGCTTACCTTGGCTTCCAATTTCTGATTTTCGTTCTTCACTTCGCTGCGATCGTACTCGATCTTCTCCAGCTTGGCGCGCAGCATGATCAGCTCCTCGTTGGCGATCTTCAGCTGCTCCTCGGTGCGGTGTACATTGAGTAGAGGCGTCACACGCACCAGCAAACGCCACCAAGGCCAATCCCGCACGGCCAGAAAGGCCTTCACATTACGCTGAATACAACGCACCGCCAGCTCCTACAATAACAAGACTTAGTCAAGGCTTCTGGGGCAACCTAAGCAAATGCCACTCACCTGTACACGGCGCTGTGACATCTTCTTGCGTGCCAAATAACCGCGACACAATGCCTGCAGCTGTATGATGCGATCCGATAGCAGCACATCTCGTTTAGCTTCCAGCTCATTGAGTACGCCCGATCGGAAGAGAATCTGTAAAAAATGATTTCAAATGTTAATCACGAACTTAGTTATAAATTCTAATAGGTTTGCATAGCATAGCTCTATCCTTGTCATTTTTATTCAGTAAACATTAAAATAAGTTTAAGCTAATATTTAGTATACATAATTAAAATTAAAATTATTCACATTAAAATAATAAAATTTTAAACTTATTTATATTATATACAAATATTTGCATTTTCATTCAATTAAGTCAAGAGATTTCACAAATCCTACAAAAGGACAAAACACAATAAATTATTCGGATCATTTTGGTAGACAATCACAGTTAAATTGGTCTTACTTAAGAATTCGAGCGGCTTCTAACTGTGACATTAGCAGCTGGCAAATCTGCTGAACGTGATGTTAATGCGAAATGCAAGACCTTATTATCCGATGTGGCAATAGATCAACTCTTTGGATGTTGTGGCAGCTGCCAGTTTCTTTTTCGTCTCAACTTGGAGCTTAGAAAATAAAATCACAGAGATTGCAGCAGAGAGGGAAAAACACGACACATATAATAAATGGTCTTATATACATAAAAGCTCAAAATCTCAGTACTATCAACATGTTGTGTGCGCATTACAATGACAGCTGCGATCCCAAAGGGGCAACACAAAGCAAATGTAATCAAATCAAGGAAGTGAAGGTCAAGGTGGCTGACACGGCAGCAGAGTCAAAGAGCTGGACAAGACAAGAGCAGAGCACTGTAATTTGCACACCTGTGCAGCAGGGCACGAGAAAATAAAAGTGAAAGAAATCAAGAGTGCTCGGCTTAACACTGATCGACTGGGTAATACCCCCTACTATTTATTAATATGTGTGTAGAAAAAAAAAATAAATAAAATAAAATCGAATACTCATTGATATTATGTAAATTGAGGAGATGTCGAAAAGCTAATGCTTTGAAAGTAAATAATAATAATAATAATATATATACACAAATATGCAACTTCAAGCTTTCGGTCTTCTTTCTTCCTCTTACATACGTAATACCCCTTTTTCGGTGATTTTCAATGGGTTCAGGGAATGCAAAGCCAACACAAAATAGAAAATTGTAAATAAACAAATGGGCATCAATTCCATTAGGCAGCCGCCGAGCTCATAAACAAATGCAGCTGAGACAAAGTCGCGAACTTCCACTGCGACTACAAATTAGTAAGCCAAATGTCTTTGGCTGGGCTCGGAATCGGACGCACCTTGCCAAGGTGTGTCAACTATGTGTCTCTGAATTTGCGACGATTTTCGAGAAACTATTTCGAAATTTTTAATTATGCAGCGCACGTAGATCAAAAATGAAAGTAAACCAATGTGAAATTGCGACTAACCGGGAAAATGGGTGTGTGTATTTGTTTGTGTGTGTGTGTGTGTGCATTTTGTATTTGTTTATGCGGGTTTTACGATCGAGATGAGCTGGTGGGGATCGAGGTGAGACGAACTATAAGAAAAAAACCGAAAAACAAAGGCAACTAAGTAACCGAAACCAGGTGTTAAAGTTGAATAGAGAAGAGAAGATAAGCGGTAGAGGTTTTTGTTTTTAAACAGTATTTATTCCAGTTAATAGTTAAGAAATAGTTCTAATAGATAATTTAAATTTAGATATGGTAGGGCACCATTATTGCTGGGGACTCGCTGGCTAGTGCAGCTGCATAGTTACCTCTTTCATATAGGTGGGATAGATCTCCACCTGTGTTTGTATGCAGCGCACCGCCCGCACCTGCGCCACCTTTGTCGTCGTCGTTGTCGTCGCATTCATATTATGGCCGCTGTCCGTCTGGCATTGCGATTTCGCCTCAAACTTTTGCAAGAGCTGCGCAATTTTGTTGGGCCTGCAGCAGCTCTGGGCTGGCTCTGGCTCAACGTCTTCGTCATCGCCCTCGCATTCGCATAAACTTCCAGTCGAATTGCTCGTGGATGACAGAACCGTGTTGCTAATGTGGCCAGAGTCGTCCGAGTCGCAGTTCGAGCTCTGTTCAACGGCTTTTATGGGTTTCGGCGGCGGCGGCTGTTGCACCACTTTGACCAGCAGCTCGTGGTTTTTGTCTGAGGTCTCGCCCAGCTTGGGCGGTATTATCTTGCACGATTCTAGCTTGGGCTTGCCCACTTTCTCTTCGTTGGCGTAGTGCAGCTGCTGTTTCTTTTTATGCCGCATCAGCTGTGTGTGCTCCTTGTTAACGCCGCGACTGGGCCGCGATTTGCCAGCACTGAGGCTCTCCACCTGACGCAGCAGGTCATGACCCTTGGCCAGGCACTTTACCAGCAGCTCATCGGTGTGCGCATCGGGCGATCGGCTGGCCGCAGCTTTCAGCGTCGAGTTGGCCCGCCTCGGCGGCTTGGCTGCCAACTGGCGACGCTCCAGCGTCGAGTTGGCTCGCTTGGGCGCAACGAGAGAGACAGGCATCGGCTGGGGCTTCACTTTGGCTGCCGCCTGGCTGGCTCTGCTGCAGCTGCGACTGTTCAGCGTCAGCATGGACCTGGTGCGTTGCTGCTTCTGTCGTTGCGGCGGCGTCAGCTGCACTTTGCTGCCGGCCTGGCTGCTCTTCTCCAGGCAGCGCAGGCTCGAGTGCTTCGATATGGGTATCCGACTGCCGCTCAGCTGGCTAATGTCGCAGAGCGAATTGTAGCGCTGATTCGATCTGGAGTCGCTGCGGCGCAACAGCATCGAATTGGCCAACTCGGGCGTCTGATAGATTTGCCTCCTGCTCGAGGCCATGCTCAGCGTGCTGTGCGATTTCGAGAGCAGCTGTCGATCGCAGAACTGAGCAGGCGGTGGGGGCAGCGGCATTGGCACTGGCACCACCATCGGCACCGGCAGCGTTTGCTCGTACTGCACTCCTTGCTCCTCCTCCACCGGCGGATACTCCTGCAGTATTTGATCGAAACTCTGCAGCACTTCGTTCAGTTTGCTCTCGTCGTGCGCGACTTTCTCAAGCTCCGCAAAGATCTCGTCCTCCAGCGATTGCTGTGTGAGATTCAGGCTCAGGCTCATCTGGCCCTCGTCATCGCTGTCCACATAGCTGCAGACACTGCTGCTGCTCAGCGTCATCAATGGGCTACTGGCCGGAGCCTCCGCTGGTGTTACTGCCGGCTTCGGCGTATACTTGCCAACCACACAGCCTCCGCTGTCCACCAGACTGAGGGCGCTCATCGAACGCGTGTGCTTGCTGCCCTTGTAGTAGAGTTTGCCGCTCAGCTTGGGCGTGAGATTATCCTCGATTTTGTGCCGTATGCTTGAGAAGAATTTCTTGCCCGCCCCCAGGCCATGGTGTGCTTGCTTTTGAGGCGTGGCAGTTGAGGCAGGTGGCGTGCTGCGTGCCTGGGACAGTTTTGATTTGACCGTGTGTTTATACATGACAACAGTGATTTATTGTGAGTTATTTATGATGCTAATAATGGTTATATTGATGGTGATAATGATGATGATGATGTAAAGACGGGCAACAAGTAAAAGTGCATATAACTTTTGTTGTTGCGAAATTTCCTTTCGATCTGCGATCGCCGCTTCGGCCACTTGACCAACAGCCAACACTTTCACAGCTGCTGGGCGCTTGGCGCGTAATTCGTGTGTTGTTTTCTCTTTGAGCTCAACGGCGCAACTGAATTTCTTGCCGCGCCAGACGAAGCCAAACAGCCAGCCAGCCAGCCAGCCAGCCAGCCAGCAACAGCAGCAACAGCAGCAACAGCGGCAACAGCGGCAGCAAAACAGTCAACAGCCAAGTGCGCTGTGCATTCGAAAGTGGCTTATCAACAAACAGAGCCGTGGACATGGTCGCGGCTTACCGTAATTGGCGGCGGTCATGGTTAGCCATACACAGCGAAAGGGGGCACGTCGCCATTGCCAAGGGGCAAGCCCAGCTCTGTGCAACGTGTTGCAGCTGCAGGTTCGATGCTAATTACCAGCGCCAACAAATCACATTTCATTCAGTCTTCAAATGCTCGATTTATAGTTGGCTCGTCTCATTAGCGACATTACAGCAATCACAGACACGCTCACACATCATCATGATCATCGTCAGCTTAAGCATCATTAGCATTATGTATACACACTTACATATACATACATAAAGAAAAGTGAAAAATAACAAAAATGATTGCTTGCCGTCGCTCTTCTCATTTATGTTTCGATTTGAACTTTTCATTGTCAGCAATTGGACTTCAGAGAGCATTAAAGCCATCGTGGAGCACGTTAATGTGCAGCACTCGGTGCAGCTTATGACAATGACAAATATTGATATGCATGTATATGTGTGCATGTTCATCAGAATATGTCGTGCCTGGGTTGGGTTGGGTTGGGTTGAAAAGGTTGTTGCACTGCCCTAGGGCAAGAGCAAGCAGAACCTCCAAGTGGAAACTCAGACAACACTCTGAGCTAACAGCCAAGAATGTTTTTTGTTTGGGCTATAGAGGGAGTTCTTCGAGTGCATTATATAATAATAACATGATAATATAATAATATGATATGGAGAGCGATTTAATATGGTTTGTTTTCTATTTTGGGGAAACTTATTTTAGTTTGTTGAACTTTGTTGTTTTTTTGTTGTAGTATATGTATATGCAGTCAAAATTATGTGCGACGCGATTTCTTTTATGTCCATCACTAATAGAGCATTTAAATATTAATTTAAATCTCAAATCTTAGAAATTATCACTTGAAATTATCACTCTCTTATGAAATCTAACTAAATGTAAATGTATTTATATAATATTAATTTACCACGTTACACTCTTTCACAGCACTCTATTTCTTGGTCAACAATTGTCAAATGAAGCATGATTTTAATTTAGTTTTCAATTATATGCATCCTTTGTTTTCGCTAAAAGTCACAGCCGATTATTCATTGCCAATTGGCGGTTATCAGAGCGATAAAATATGCTATCAGAACTTATTATCTGAGACATCTTCGATTACAAGTCGATGATTTACGGAATCTGCTGGGTCTTCCTCATTGCAGTACGCTTATTACAGTAAGCTCAAGCTCAAGCTCAAGTCGACTATTAATTATTCAAATTAAAATCGCTCGTTGCAGTCAGTTATCAGATTACAAACACCTCGTAGAGCAGCAGGAAGAGTTTAGCGTCCCTTATCACGACAGTATGTTATAATTTTCAATTAGCTACCAAAGAAGAACGACTCGTAACTAATTAATTGCATTTCAGCTGGCTGCAGCTCTTACGAGCATTGCATGTGGGCAGCTTCCTGCTTATTGTTATTTCATAATTCATCGAAAACTAGTTTGCATAGAGTTGTGCCTAAAGGGTCAATTGGCTCTTTTGAGATTAATGTGTAAATTAATTAAGGCCACGCCTCCCTCTGGGCAGACGCCGCTTGCATGTCAAAACGCTAATGAAGTTTTCGTGTCTCTTTCGACTCAGCCAGTTTCAAAATTTTGTTCATTGGGCTTCCAAGCGATTGACAGAACCCGCTTCAATATATTATGCAAGTTATAAGCCGCTCAGACTGCGTCGACTGCGATTCATTTCTAATGAAAGCGAACGCTGGGAAATTTCACTTTAAATGTTTGCATGGAAAAAATGTTAATGTGCATTGGACAAATGTGGTTGTTGCTGTTGCTGTCGTTGTTGTTGTTGTTGCTGCTGCTGCCGCTATTGCTGGTGTTGTCTGCAGGTTGCAGCGGGTCGCAGCTCGACAAACGCAACGTCATTTTTTGGTGAAAGTGAGCGACGCATGCGTCGCTCTGCGGTTGGATTGGGTTGGGCTCCGTTTCGGACTTGGATTTGGATTTGGAATTGAATTTTTGTTTTTGTGGATTCGATATGGTATGACTGTATGGTACGTACACTGCGTGTGCTGCGTCTGATCAGCCACAAGCTGCTGCCAATTCCATAGATGAGCAATAACAAACGCAAAATATCGTGCCCGACATGCCGCTGCCCGCAGAGCTGCACGAAGCTATTTAGCCAATAATCAGTGCGGATATTGCTGTTGCTGTTGCTGTTGCTGTCTCCGAACCAGCTGTTCACTCTGCCACTCTCATTGCCAGTGATTAGACACACATCGGATTTGTCCAGCCACATTTCGGTTTCGTTGATGTGTCAGTAAAATAATTTGTCTGCTTAACTGCGACGTTCTCCATTTGTAAAAACCAACTGAGCAGTCGGACAGAATCAGAGCAATAGGCTGTAGTCAGCGCTCGCAGAGCTCATTACAGAGGCAACAACAAAGCACAGCGAGAGCTTGGAATTCTATATCACAATGGAACCGAGAGCTTCCACAGATGAACTTGACCGTGAAAGTTGCGAGCGTCAGCGAAGCTGAGCTGAGAGTCCGAAGAAAATATGTGGACTTGCCACAGGTGACGTCAAAAGTTTTTGTGAGCAAATGCGAGCATTAAGTAGGGATTCACAGTTGCATGAGAACAGGAAATCGAAAACCAGCCAACAAGCCCTAGTAACTAATACGAATATGAAGCAGCGCGGGGCTATACTCCAGTCCAGCTGTATAGAAACACTTTACGAAAATTACAAATCGCAGCGAAGTGACCAAGTCGAATAGTCGAACAAATTGAAAAACAGTAATTGCTGCAAATTAAAACTAAACTTGCGAAAAAAAAAAGTAAAAGTTTATAGAAAGTGAAAATGATATTTTTATACATATAAATGAGTTGCGGGAATTCGCAATAGGAATAGTAAGTTTGATAATAAATTAAATGCTAAGTAAGTGCTAATCAGTCGAGAATGAATATGTTTTAATTATGCTAATTACTTGTGAGCTTTCATCTTTCAAATCAAATTCTTTTATGTTGAATAATTTTTGCTCGTCGAATATTTGTATGAAAGAAATGCCAAAAATGAAATACCAAAAGTGAGATTAAAAGAGTAATATTTAGAGCAAACCCCCATTCTTTTTTTGCAAACAATTCTAAAGAAATTTAATTTTTTTTTTATATATAATCTTAATTTCTTAAAAGTAATATTTAAAGCAAACCCCCATTCTTTTTTTTTGCAAACAATTCTAATGAAATTTAATCTTTTTTTATATAATCTTAATTTCTTCTATGACTGCTTATATTCCAGAAATTAACTTATCGATTTCAGGCTATTAAAGTTGAAGCTATTAAGAGTACAACTCGTCTCTCAGGTCAATCGAATTTTTTTATGGACATTCCCAAAGTAGCACCAGAAGATGAGTGCAGTCTTAGTCGAAAATAAACAGAACTTGAATGAATGAAACGTGCTGTGTATAAAATTACAAATTAATTTAAATTAATACTTGTCTGCAAAATTACACATATTCTTGCTGCACAGGTAATAAATTACAGGGAGTACTTAAAGATCTGTTAACAGAATCACTACACAAGCAAAGGTGCATATTCAGAGCTGGGAAATTCTGGCGTCGAGTTGACTTCAGATATGAAATTTTTCTTTGTATTTGTATTATATCCAACGTTATGTAAATAAGCAAATATAATTCGAATGTATCCAAAATACATACAGTATGCAAAAAATAACTGCAGAGATTTTCTTTATGAATATACGTAAGTATACGTAAGTATTTTTATCACCAAAACAATAAAAACTTTTGATATTAAATACAGCTTTAATAAAAGCTACAGCCAAGACGTTCGTGACAAAATGACAATGCTGTGTAGAAAAGTATGTCACAATTGACAAGCAGATTGACAAGCAGATACCCTGTACGACTGTCGTGACACAGTGCACTTGGGCTGTTTGAGTGCTCATGTTAAGTGCACAAGGTCTTTATAATTTTAATAGATAAATTTTAAGCAACAACTTAGAGCTTTAGTTGTTTAGTGCAATGCACACTGTTTGGTCACAGCATGGGCTGTACTTAAAATAGTTGCAGTATAGATTAAATTCCTTAAGCGTTGATCACACTTTTTTTTTTAATATAAGCAAACACTTTTTGCGCTTATCAATATACTGTTCAATACTCTTTTCGCCTCATCTCGCAGAATGGGCTAACATTATTTTATTAAATAAATAAATTCAGTCAATAAAGTGTGTAACATGTCTCGAGTGAGTTGAACGCTCAGTTAAATGTTTTTGGCATAAAAAGTGTCAACAGCAATGCCGACGAGAAGAAATTCAAATGCTGAAGTCAAACGTTCACATGTTATAAGTAAAGTCATAAAACCAAATCACACATTGATACTACGACACGAAACACCTGCTAAATGGCTTAGAAAACACATATTTTTTTAGTTATGATTGAACCCGAGCCCTAAGGTACGTTTGCTCAAGATTTTATGAATAATGACAAACAATTTACAAATACCCAAGAGATATATATAAATAACTATCTACTTTTTGGCTTAGTTGAGAAAGGCAAGCCAGTGGGGAAAAGTTAGTAGTATGTTGTAACAAAAGATCAACGACACCGCTCACGAAATTTTGTTTTGTATGCATAATTACTTAGTTTGGCCAGTTAACAAAGAGTATTCGTTAGAATCACAAAGCTATTGATAGTTTGGCCGAATTCTGAATGTGCTACAGAAAGTGTAAACAAAACTCGAAAGTAGGTCAATTTGAAGTAAGTATCATTGCGTCACTTTCATCAAGTTTGGATACAAATCTTAATAAATTATGTAGAATATATTAACAAAATATAATATAAACATTCATGTTGTTGTGATTATATTAATTCGATTACGTGTTATGCGTGTTCGAATTGCCTAACACTTCTGCTTTGGAAATAACTCGATAATTGGCCACTTAATATTAGTCAACGCTCAAAAGAAAATTTCAAATTATTAACTGTAAATGGCAGAAGAAAACAAAAACCAGAAAATTAACGTATTTCAAATTCAAATATATGCGCCTATCTTTATTTTTAAATTTAATATATGTTAATATCCGTAATTATAATATGCATTAATGAATACGCTGGCGAGGCTAATGAACTAACTTTTCCCCTCGACCGCAAACAGTGAAAGCCTACTGACCCCCTGTGCACTGCGAGTGCTAAATTCGAGATTTGAATGCCAAAAAGAAGTCGCGAGTCAGAATGAGCATTCGTTTCAAATTCGTTGTGCTCGAGAACGGAAGTGGCTGGCAGGTTAATTGAGCATCAGATATGCAATGCATATTGCACAGTACTTGAGTATTTACTTGCACTTAGTTGCATCTGCAATTGTCGCTATTGTCGCTACTGTTGCTGCAGCAGCAGCAACACCAACAACAACAGCAACTTCTCAAAACTCAACAAGTTTGCAATTTATTAAATGGGCGCTTGTCATGACAGTGACCGCGCTGAAGCTGAAGCTCAAATTCTCAAGCGTCCGGCCGGCCGGCTGGCGCCCTTGTCCAGCTTTCGTGATCGGCATCCAGCGATCCTCAGCGCGCTGTGTGTGCTTAGCTTTATACTACATATTGTATTTAACTCGCCGTCCGTTTAGAATTTTGCTCAGAACCGATAACGTCTCGGAGGTGTTGCCGTCGCTCACAAATATTCGCTGTCAGACTTTTAGTGAACCGAGCCAAATATATTGATTAATTGTCGCGCGTTTACCTTAAACTTGACTCGGTATTTTAATTAAATTAAATTAAATTTTATCCAATTTAATTTTTTTTTGTATTATTCAAATTTCGCAATGCAGTTGCTGAACAGCATTGCGCTGCTGCTGCTGCTGCCAGCTGGATGTGAGTCAGTCGGCCATAGATTTTTAAATTTTAATGACAATTGTTTACGAGACATTATCCGCAATCTATGTTTTTTTTTTTTTTTTTTTTTATAGATGTAGCCGCTGCCCAACGGTTGTTTGCTTACGAGCGCGGCAAGTGCGAAATTGCAATGGCCGATGTCGTGGAGGGCTTAGTTAGTACGAGCTTGAAACGTTTGACACGTCCGTCAAGGCGCGTTAGCCAGGCCAGCTTGTTACAGTACGATCTCTATACGCCGCGCAATCGACAAGAGCGTCAACTGCTCTATCCGGGGAATGTGCAGTTGCTAAGGAAATCTAACTTCAATGGCAAATGGCCAGTCAGGTAGAGTAGTGTTTGTGAATGTCGTGGAGCAATTATAAAATTTGGCCTTTGCGAATCAACGCAGATTCATCATTCACGGCTGGACGGGCAAGAGCACCACCTGCTACAATGCAGCCGTTAAGGATGCGTATTTGTCGCGTGGCGACTTTAATGTCATCGTTATGGACTGGAGCCGACAGGCTATGGATATCAGCTACTCTCGTGTGTCCAAGCAATTCCGTTCAATTGCTGCCAGTGTTGCGAAATTTCTTAGCTTTCTGCACGACTATGCGGGCGTTCCCTACGAGAACATCTATTTGGTGGGCCACAGTGCGGGCAGCCACATAGCCGGCCTAACGGGCAAGCTTCTTAGCCCTGCACGCCTGGGCGCCATCTTTGCGCTCGATCCAGCGGGTCTCTCACAGCTCGGCATGGGACCCACGGAGCGCCTGGCACCCACCGATGCCATCTATGTGGAGGCCATACACACAGATTTGGAGCTGTTCGGCAATCCTGAAGGCAATCGACTCAGCCAGGCAGCAATGTTCCCCAACTGGGGCCTGGGACAGCCGCACTGCCCGAACGCAACTGGCACTGAACTTGACATCAGCTGCGACCACTTTGCCGCCGTCTTCTACTTTGCAGAATCTGTGCGCCGGCCGAAGATGTTTGGCGCAGTGCGCTGCAGCTCCCTGCAGAGCATGCGAAAGCTCGCCTGCGGCTGCAGCAACAGCGGCAAGCACAGCAAGTTCAGTGCTGCGACATGTCCCGCTGATTCATTCATGGGTGGCGAACCGGCTCTGCCCAAAAAGGGGATGTTTTACGTCAGCACACTGCGACAACCGCCGTATGGCACCGCCGACGGCCTAGTTCACATGCAACCACCTAAAATGTCTACTATTTTCGAAACAAGGCGAACATTGTTTTTTATCTAAATGCAGGCCGAACAACAGAGGCGAATGAATGATCGATAAGTGATATAAAGGCTACAACTAAAGATAGACATCTATAATATTTATAAGAAACTCAAATTGGATATTTGATATGAAACTGGTTAATCATGTACACCTGATGTCTTTAATTCAAATAAGAGGCAAGTAGCATGTGTTGAATAATTACATTAAATTACGTATGCCATAAATAAGGTGTAATTTATTTAAATGCACTAAACTAAGGAATGACGAATATTTTGAGTAAGTACATAAAATTTAATTATGTTTTACTAAGTGCCTACACTAAAATTCTATGAAACATAAGTTTTCTTAGCCGCTGTTTTTGAGTCAGACTTTCTAATTTATGGGTAGCCATAGTATTTATGGTTACCGAGTAGATTAAAGCAACTAATGATTAAACTTGGAAATTGGTCAAAATCTGTCATAAAATTTTACAAATTTCAAGTCATTCAAAAAGGTTAAAAGTTTAAAACTTCTTAAATTAAGCTCAGCAAAGAATTTTATATGCAAACCTTAATAATAAAGACAAGTTTTAGATACCACAGCTTGTTTATAATAGTTGAAAAGTTACTCCACGACAATTACTCTCGCATTTTCAATAATCAATACATAATCTAGCTTAGGCATTATGACTATCAATTCATATAATTATAGCTAAGTAGACAATATGCATTGAACTCACTTGACTTGGTCCAATGCGATAGCTGGCAACGTCCAGTTCATTGACAGCGAGTATTTGCTCCACGGTAACATCTTTATTGCTCGCCAAGTCGGCTGCTAGCAGGCCGAAGCGACGCACGAACTCCACTAATGGCACAGATTCGGGAAAGCCCAGACGATGCAGCCGAGCGGCCTCTAAAACTTGTGAGCCACGTAGCTAAACGAACGTATCGTAAGACGTTAGTGGGAACAGTTAAGAGAGTAAGTAAGGGCTGGTTAACCTACCTGACTCCTTAACAGTGGCACATTTACCAAATCCTCCTCGGTAGCAGCTTGAGCTAGCGCCGTGCTGGGCGACCCGTTCGCCGTGAACTTGGCATGCTTTCCCGCATTGTGGTGCAGCAAATAGCAGTGCACAAAGTGGGTGCCCGTGCGGCGCAACGTATCAATTATGCCATCCACGGTGAACTTCACCTGCAGCATAATTGAGTTACGCTTGACGCCCGCCGTAGTGAAGGAACGCCGGATGCTGGACACTCGACGCAACGACTGTGTACCCTCCAGGCCAGCGAACGAGCCGCAAAAGACCATGGCACCAGAGCCGCGCGTCAGTGAGCCAATATAGAGACGATTTATCTCTTCCCGACTGCTGTCCTGCAGCAGCGACACCGCGTTCCGTATGCCCGGATGCTCGCGACTATTTCGCACCCAGCCATCGACAGAATAGAGCACCGGGTTGGTTCCCTGCAGATGGTGCAGCACAAACTGGCGCTGTCCGGCGCATTTGCGCAACAACGTGTGATGTTCCCGATCACCGTAGTGCGAGAATAAACGCTCTAGGAATGTGTCGTCGTTCGAGTTCGGATAGATGGCCTCTTCGTCCAATAGCCTGCAAGTAGAGAATTCATGTGGATTACTGTAAACAAATGCAACTATGACTATAAATACTCACCAGAGCAAGCCACGACGATCATGTTCGCGCAGATCGCGCTGTGAAGATCGCACCACATGATTCTGTGGAGCCTTGTCTATCAGAGATATCAGCGGGCCCGGATGACATTCGGAGGCATGATCCATTTCGATCTCCACCAGTTCCTGGGCATAGCGATCCCGTGGCGCCACCAATGTTGTGTGATGAAACAGCATTTGGAGTCGCTCCTGCAGATAGTTGTGACGCAGATCTGCCAGTGTGGCGCCCACTTGTTGGCCACAGCTGGCTGGATTTTGGAAGCCTGGTGTATCGATCAGCATTATTGAAGCAATAGTATGAGCTGAAGTGCAGATCTGTCGATTTATCAGAGCCACCACAGCGGCCAGTGCCTCCGAGTAGAGGCCAATGACGAGCGCTTCAAGGCATTCCCACTCTTGACCCCCATCTGAGGTGGGCGACTTAGAGGGACTCAAGCTGGCGCCTGTTGCAGTGGGCTGTGTAAGACCGAATGCAGCTGCCGATAAATCCTCAAGATTGACGCCCAACAGACTGGCCGCCTTCCGTGCTGCTGTCGGATTCGCAAACTGCGTTCGAGCCGTCGACCCGGTGCCCATTCGAGTAATACCCGCAATGCCTAGATGATAGATAGCTGCCAGTATACTCCAGATTCCCCGCACAGCCTTGGCATCAATGTTGAGTGTCTCAAATGCCTGCACCGTACGCAAAAAGTCATTCGCCGCCCGATGACGATCTTCCAATCGCTGCGAAAGCGATATAAACGGATGACTGTCTTCGGACGAGATGTTCTCTAAATGCAGCTCTTTCTGCAGCAGACCCGCGGCGCCAGCCAACAGCCGCGTCATAATGTGGAAGCTGTGCTCGTGCGAAAGCCTGCGACCCGCACGTTGTCGTTCCGGCAGCAGCACCTATAACCAAACATAGGCCATTAGTGGGATAATCAACTGAGATATGAGCAACGCTTAGCTTACCTGCAAAGAGGCTGATGCTATTTGACCGGTCTGATCGAAATCCAAGCTGAGCAGCTGCGTCATACGCGTCGCATTCGAATTCAGACATGTTCTCGTATTGCCAAATGCTTCCAAAATTGTGCACAATGCACCCACTTTTTCCGCATTAATAAAATTATTGTATGCACCTGCAGGCGAAATTGATTAGTTGATTAAATAACAGTTACAATGGACAGTAATGTGAATTTTGTGATTTAATTATAAATATTTTCACTATTAATGATTAAAGGGATTAGTGCTTTGATCTTTGATATCGAACGTCACATCGCTGCTGGTATAACAAGTATATAGTATATGTTAAATATTTGTAAACATTTAAATTAAATATTAGAATCATTAGCATTGCAAGTACTATTTATCAGAACTAAGCTGTATATCTCTATCTGAAATGTATGCAATATTAATCAATCCTAGACTAATTGCAATTATATAATTTAAATAATAATGATTGCAAGAATTGTTATTCAAATCAGAAGAATAATAAAGCTAAGATTTATTTCTTTACGCCTACCAATGGGCGAGAATCAGATAAATGGATTACAAATGTAGTCGACCAGACAACTCAAGACCAATTCGATATGAATTGCGTTTAGGATTTGTCGTATATGGCGTAACCTACGTCATGAAAAACTGAAATTATACCATTTTACAATGGTAGAACAATGAGAAATGCTTTGACAAATTGCAGCTGCGCAGTTAGACAAAATGCAAATGAGCTAATCGAACGCCAGATTGGATTTTTGGTGTGGCCCAAACGGGGCCAACCAACAGCGACAATAACTGCAACAACAACAACAACAACACCAAACATCAGCAACAGCTACAACAATAGCAACAACAATGTCTAGACATACCAGCAGCCAACGCCAAGTAGTTGAGCGCATGCTTAAAGCTTGTGGTCTTGCCAGAACCAGAACGACCCATGAATATTAGACTTTGATCGCGTCGCGTTTCAACCAAACTCCTGTAGGCGGTCTGGGCTAGCGAGTAGACGTGGGGCGGCATGTCCTCCGTTTTGCAGCCGCGAAACATGGATACAACCTACAAGCAAGCAAACAGACAAGAAAGACACAGCAAGATAATAAATAAGCCGAACAAATCAAATCAAAGCAAACCAGTACAGGCCAGCAGCCAGCAGCCAGCAGCTAGCAGCCAGACCAGTCTCACCTTCTCAGAGTAGAGCGACAGCGGTGCCATGGGATTGACCACGAGCAGCGTGGGCCCCGCCTTGGTGTGTATCAGATTGCTGGCATATCGCTGTCGGAGGCAGTGCAGCACAGACGCCTCGTTCAGATACTTCAGCTCACAGATGTCCTCAACCAAGTCCAGTGCGGGGCTGTTCTGCTTCTCGATGTCATCCTCGTCCACGGTCAACTGTTCGCCATTATGCAGCAATCGCACGTTCAGCTTGTGCTCCTCATGCGCCGTGTCGCCGGGCGGCAGACGCAGCGCTGCCGTAAAGCCACCGCGATGCACCAGCCACACACGTTCCGGCTGCGAGGCGTCGTCGACTACGTCCACATCGCTATCGCTTTTGCCAAAAAGGCCGCCCGTACCGTTCTCGTGCCGACTCTGCAAAATATGAGCATATATTTACTGGATATTAACGAATCGGGGTCAACAATTCGGTGGGGCGCAACTTCAAGTGATATTTTGTGTACTACTTCGGTCTATTTTTGGGCGCACGCATTTTCACGCATTTATTCCATTTATTATGGTACTTCAGCTCCGATGGATTCAGTTCACCTAAGCGCAACGTCAGCTTTTCGTTGTTTCGTTTTATTTCGGTGCATTTCTAAATTTGATGTTGTTTCTAAATCCTAATTAGTTGCGCAGACTAGCAGCCCATAGAGCGAGGCCCAGACCCAGTGCCCGCCCCTTCTTCCCAATTCCCCTCCACCCGAGCCCCATTCCCATCCAAATGGTAGTGGGCTAGACGTGCTCTGTGCCTGTAGATGTAGATGCTGCTGCTGCTGTTGCTGCTGGTGCTGATATTACTTCGCTCTAGCTATGGCTGTGGATGTGCGGCTGCGTTATGCAACGCGCCAACGTCGCCAGCAGCGTTTCGTTGGCGGTGCCAACACGTTCAGTTCACATTTGGAGCTATAAATGGCATTTACTCGATGCTGCCGACGCAGTTTACTTTTCGTATGCTGCTATCTATGCATCTGCCGCATCTCCTCAGCACACAGCATCTCCACAGCTCTCTTCATCAGCACAACTTTGCATTAACTTGTAGTTGTTGTTGCAATCGTACTCTGTGGCGTAATTATGAAAATATTGTGCTAGGTTCAATAGCCCGTAATTGGAGTCATTTTCGGCTATGCGCTGTTAATAGATCGAGAATTTCTATGCCTACCCCATAGAATATACCGATTTCAAAACGTTTTAAACAGGAAATAAATGTTGAGACTCATTCATGTCTCGAATTAAAACCGTTGCGGAATATTATGTTAGTGGGTAAAAGTCGAATATAGAACTGTACATGGGAGTATTACTAAATAAAAATAAGTAGCATGATTCAATTTGTTGTGCAATAGATTTATTTGGAGTTGGATTGGAATACATGAAGTATAAACTCTAGCGAAAAATACCTTGAACCCACTGATCAATCAGAAATTTATAACTGTATATGGCATGTACTTATATTTAACAAAAAGCTCAAAGATAAATTGGCAAAATAAATAAATCAATTATATAATTGGTAATTCAAATGTTATTGCGGATTCTCAATTCTTTTTTTTTTTTCGTATAATAACTTGAGTGCGGGCTACACTTTTTTATTGAAAAACTTCATCTAATAATAATTTTATGTTTAGCCAATCACAATCACCTCCCACATTTCTATAAACACATACTCACATACATACACGCATGTATAAAGTTTTATAAACAAATGAACTGACGTCTGAAACGTCTGTCCACTGTCAATCAATAGCTGCAGTCGTCGAATGGTGGGGCAGCTGCGGTTCATTGAACCCGCCACCGTTTAAGTTGATGAGATAGACAAATTAGACAAAGAATGTGCAGACAGACCTAACTAATTAACATGTACAGGAGGGCATGGCGAGCTATACGACAAAGAGCAGAGAGCGCGAAAAAAAAAACAAAGAATAGAGAGAAAAGATAATGAAAGCATTGGGAGAGTCAATTAAGCTCTGACTAAGGTTTACCGAACACAACTCAATTTTAAGATTTGATATCTAAAAACTATAGTTTATTTAGTGGCATACAACTGCCCCAGCTGAAGACGAGGAGAGATTTAGAGAGAGAGAGAGAGAGAGAGAGAGAGAGAGAGAGAGAGAGAGAGAGAAGAACAACAAAGCGGGCGACGTAAATGAATACTTCCGCTCGACAGGGCAGCGAATCCATCGCTCGACGCAGTCGGCGTAGTGAGCCATAAAACCATAAATGCAGCGACAAGACGACCATATCGTAAATTATGAGCCGACCATTTGCCCACGCACCGTCCCGATCCCCAATCCCATTCCCATTCTTAACCAAGTCGCCATATGCCTACCCAGCAGTCTAAGCATAATAAAATAACTAACAACTAAATCGTACATTGGGTCACGGTTCGACGATCTATCGATCCATTCATCGATCGAGTCGTAAAGGGCCAAAGAAAGAAAGTTGTTGTTTTTTTTTTAACACTAAACGACAAAGATGGGAAATAAATTTGTGTATTCAATATATTTTTACTGAGCGGAAGCAATTTGTTTTTAGTGCAAGATCATCAGAAGTAACGACAGCTCCCGATACTATTTAAATACGTGAGTAAACAGTAATGATATTTGACTTTTGTTTTAAGCCCAACTGCACCTTCAGTTTCAACTGGCACATTTAGCCCATAAATGAAAAATACGCCATCACTGCGAATATATATATATATATAGATATGCAAAATATTTTAGGTCATACTATTTCCAGAGAAATTCAACTAGCATTATACAGAGTATTCTCTGTATGTGTGTGTGGTAAAAGTTGTACATTATATGGGTAATTCAATTCGTTCACTATATCAAAATGTAATACTTAAAACTAGTTAAACAATTGTATATATATCCAATAAAATCAGATTTGGGATACTCCATATAACGCATTGATATGTACGAATTTTTTAAATATAAAAATAGAATTATGTTTTATATATGTATTTTGGAATAGAGGGAAGTAGTTGCAGATATTTAGAAATTTGAGATAATGAAGTCTATTCAATCTTTGTCTAGGGAAAATTGTACCGTATCTATTCCAATGTTAAATTTAGGTTTTTATGCAAGCTAACTGGGTATTTTGTTCAAATAAATATTAAATATTTCTAATTCCATAACGTAAAAGCCCTATTCACAACAAAGAAGTTGTCTAAAGCATTTTTTCTGCAAAATTCCATGCAATTCAAACTTTGTTTCAAACATAAAATTGGTTAACAATACTTCGCATATGCATTTCGTCTTGATTTCTGTAGTCTAGTGTAATTATTATGCGCACCTTTTGCTTAACGCTTGCATCATAGTTTTTGTAGTTGCAGCCCAGCGAGTTGGCCCAGATGAGTGGCCACTGCTGGGCAGCGTTTTGGGCATCGCGTCGCCGTCGATAAGAGCTGCGTATATGGAGCACGGGCGAAGCTGGCGCTGCAGCTGCAGCTGCTGCTGCATACTTGGATGCAGCTATAGCGGAGCTGTTCCATGGCGGACGTATTAGTGTTGTTGCTGCAGCATTTGCAGATGTTGTTGTTGTTGTCGCTGTGGTGTTTGCTGTTGCTGTTGTGCCTGGCGTTGCGTTGATCTTGCCATTCTGGCGAAAGCTGCGCGTGCGAAACGAATTGCGCTCGATGCTGACAACAGAAGCAGCAGGAGCAGCAGCAGATGTGGGAGTTGTCTCCTTGGCTCCTTGCCTAGTGGCAGCCAATCGCGGCGGTTTGGGTGGCGGTGGCGTGGGCGGCACAGTGGACAATGATGTGGACGGCCAGCTGCTGGAGTTCTCAGAGCCGCTCTCACTGATCGTCTCCGAGCTAATACTATTCTTGCGCTGCGCCTTTGGCGTGGCTTTTGTTTTATTGGGCACGCCCGTGTTTTTTTGCGCCTTGTTGGTGCCGCAGGCGTGCGCCTTGCCCGTGCACCCACGATGGAAGGATGGATTTAGGCCGGAACCCGGCGCGGCGGGCACAGCAGGCACAATGCCTCCGCGCAGTGTTTGCTCAAAGTTTTTCGTCTTGAGAAACATGATGAAAATACGCGCGCGAGATTGTTTGTCAGTCTCTCTACGTGTATGTATATGTGTGTGTGTGTGCGAGTTATGTGATCACTTGGTACTTAGATCGTAAGTCAAATGCAAACAATTGTCATGGCCAGCAGCCAGCAGTGCTTGGAGCATGACCAGACCCACACAGACCGGGCCAGCGACGCACAGACGTGAAAAGGGAAGTAAGTGCGAAACTGGAGCGCGCCCAAAACCTTGGAACTGTTAGTCGCACCACAGACTCAACAATCTTGTTGTGCCTCTCTGTGAGTGTGTGTGAGTGTGTGTTTGTGTGGTTATGCGAGTTCAGGCACTTAACGCTTTGACATTAGAGACAATTGAACTGGCTGAAAACAGCCAATCATCGTGCGATCGCCGTTTGATTGATTGATTGAAATGCAAGACTCGAGTCACGAACGCGAATCAAATGCGAGTTATGAATTAACTATTAAAGCCAGTTTGAATGACAAGAATTTTTGGAAGTTGTTGCTGTTGCTGTTGCTATTGTTGTTAATTATGATGTTGTTACTGTAATCCCGCATAGAAATTTCACAGTGGGTGTCTCGCGTTTCGATTTCCGTACCGAACTTGGGCAGAGTTTGCAGCGTACTGACGGCCCAGCTCCAACGACAGCGACAACGAAGCGAGCAACAACAACAGCAACTCGACAAAAACAAAAGCAACCAAACGCAAGCAGCGCAGCACGAGCAACGTCGCGTCGCGTCGACGACGACAGCGACAGCGACTGCGACGTCAGCTATTTGTGTAGGCAGCCGACGCAGTCCGAAGTGGGTGTAGAAAAATGCACACAGCTGCAGCTGCTGTTGCTCGTGTTGCTGTTGCTGTTGTTGCTGTTGCTGTTGTCGCTGCCGGCGATGTGGATGTTGATGTTGATGTTGACGTCGACGTCAACGTCTTCGTCCATGTTCGCTGCTTGTCTGCGGCTGTTCGTGTGGCAGTGTGGGCAAAGGGGAGCTGTGCAGCACGTTGTTAATGATGTTTACTAAAATGCAGTTCGAGTTTTTTTCTCAGCAGTGTTGCCAAATAGCGTTTTATTTTCGTCTGCTGAATGAAGTGAGTAAGACGCTCGAATATGTCGACGCCTTTATGAACTTAGCCAGACAGCAGCAGCAACAACAACAACAACGACTATTCCAATTGGAATGGGGCTTAGCTATATAGCTGCAACGGGCTGGGCCTGGAATTTCTTAGCGACTGATCGCTCGTTCGATCGCTCAGGTGCTGACAATTTTTACAACACATTTGCAAAAGATAAACACAGGGAAAAATGTCAAACACGTTTCTAGCTGCGGCTAAAGTCAACAAGTTAATAAGAATTTCAACTGGAATTGCGATTGCAATTGCGATTGCTCGACAGCTAGTTACCCTGTATGGAGAAGCTGATCAATTAGACCATTAGATTTTGCATTTTGAAGTTTAAAATTAAATACCTCGACGTTGCTCAGATATTTTGATTTACTTGCGTCTCCCGACTATCATCATCATCATCGTCATCATTATCATTAAACCCCAAATTAAAAAGCAAATATTTATTTTCTCGAACACGTAGTATTTACACTCTTTTTCTGACCACTCCAACGTGATTCCCACATTGAGAAAACCTAGTTTATTGTACTTCTCTGAAAATAAAATACCCTAGCATTATTTTAACCAATTTCGAAGATTAATGTCATTAATAGAGGTCGAGTTCTTTACGATAAGTGAAATTAATTGTAAACACTCAAGTAAATAAAAAGTAGTTCTTTAAAGCTAAATATGTAATTATTTAATAAATGATTTAGATTGATTTAAGAGAAAAATACGTAGCAATAGTCAGAATTTATCGAATCCGGAAGATATACGTGTTTTAATAGAAAGATCGACATATGTCATATTAGATATAAAAAAAATAGCTTTAGCAGAATAGTAGATATTAGAGCATTATTTATAGGGCAGTTGAAGTAGTTTACGGGTTAAATCATGCTACTTTTCTTAGCATACACAATTTTTAATAACTAATCTTCCATAAATGTTTAAATTTATAAAGACTTAACGAAATACAATCTTATCAGCTGGTGCTAAGCTATTCAAGATAATACTAATACCTGACCAGCCTTAACAAAAAATACTTTATCAATGCTTGTTATCAATATAGCATTTAGAATAGCCCTAAAAATAGTTAATTACTTTGTTGGCTCATTGACCCAACTTCAGATTATTTTATAATGCTGTGTGTAAAGTTCATAAAATCGTGGGTTATTTTATAATTCCTATAATAGCTAAGTAGATAGTGAAAAGGAATCCTATCTGAAGCAGCCAACCCTTTTTCAAATTAATGAGCCGACCTTGGACGCCATTTCCATGCTCGCCACTTGATCGTTCAGAGCATTAATTCTATCGAAATTACATGATTAATGAACGATTACCAGTGATTATAATATTGTTGCTATTGCAGGTAATAAATTTCATTAATCACTGCGTTGCTAATGGATGGAGATGGGAATATGAGTTCTGGCCTTACCTGACGCTTGAAGCGTTTGCTGGCGCTGCGACGGAGAGTGTTGCAGTTGCCGTTGTTAATGGAATGATCGATCTCTTCAACGGTGGCCGTGCTGGGCGCCATGCAGCGCTTGCTCAACTCCACCAGCTCAGCTACGGGTTGCACCTAGATATGTGAAGAACACGGAGAGAGGAATGTCATGAGTGTGAATGTCATGAGATTATAAAGTGCTTAACGTACCTCGACGGTAACAGCTTCGCCACTGTTGCGTATCATCTCGATGATGATCTCGCGTGATAAATCACCCACGGGTGTGCCATTCACCTTGATCAAACGATCGCCAGGCAGCAGGCCCGTGGCGCCACCTCCAGCACCAGGCTCCGCAAAGATCACCGGTCGAAAGATGGGCGACATCAGCGACTCGGTGCGGTCCAAGCAAATAGCTTTGCGCAGACTGAATCCGAAGTCATGCCGCGGCGATTTCTGGCGTTTGATGACCAGCTGCCTGGGCGGCGGTAGCTGCACCAGCTGGACCGGTGGCAGTGGCAGCTGCACATCCTCAAAGGTGTGCACACGGGCCCAGCGATCGATGCCCTGCGATTCGCCCACTGGACTCAGCGAGAATGGAGGCGTGGCAAAGGAGGAGTTTGTGGTATCTGTGAGACTGTCGGCACTCGGTGACGGTGAAGTCAGCACATGCAAATGGGCAGCCTGCGTGGGCGTCTGTGGTGCGCCATAGCGCGCGTTCGCCGGCAGGGTCATGGCGCGCTGCTGCGGCGGATGATCACCGTCGCTGCGCAGGCTCTCCACGGAGGTGAACGAGGTGCCATGTTGGCTGGAATTGGAGCCACCGCTGCCGCCGCCACGGTTGCCCTCAAACAGCTGCTCATTTTGCATGGTGTTGCGCATCAGCATTTCGGGAGTGCCGCCACCGGTGAAGACAATCTCCTCGTGAACGTTGCTCATGTTGCTGCGCGAACCCTTCAAAATGCCACGCTTGGGCGGCTTTGGCGGCACCGGCGGCAAAAATCGATTCTGTCAGCATAATAGTAATTACATTTCAGAAGCATCAACTTCGACCTAGCATGCTCACCTTCAGTCCACCCGAGAGCAGGGAATGTGTAACCTCGCCATAGTTCAAAATAAGAGATTCGTTGGCGGCGCTTCGACTCTCGATGTGTGTCATCACAGATGCTACAATTTCCTCATTGCCACGATCCTGCTCTGGGCCGCCGTTTCCATTTCCATTGCCATTCCCATTCCCATTCGCGTTGCCGCTGGCTGCATCGGCATTGAGGGCCGCAAAGAAATCTGCACTGTAGTCCGCTGTTATGCCGCTGGGCAGTTTTTCCTTCTCCTTACGGCGGCCCCGTATCTTGAGCGATCGACGCACCTCCTCTAGACGCAGCAGTTCATCGGTGCTCATGCTGCCAGTAACCCCACCCCCGCTGCCACCTTTAGCCTCTTTGCGCAGTTTCTTTTCGCGCTTGCGACGTTCCTTCTCTTCATCGCCGGCGCTTTTCTTCATAAAGTTGAACATTCTTATCTGTTCGTGTGTGAGGGTCCTTAGGGATCTAGCTGCAATCAGACAATATTATTTTAACACACTTATACAAGAAATTGTCTTATCATATATTTACGCATATATTTATTTAATTCATGTATTTTAATTTTTAATAAAAGTTATATTTATAGAATTTCTCAAAAGATACAAATAATTTATAAAATATGTATTCATATACATTCCGTTCGCAATTATGAGCACAAGAAGTAATAATATTTAACGAGTTCGCAATGTACCTATTATAGATATACACAAGTCAATATGTACGTATGATAAGAGTAGCGAGCTCGCTCCGCAAAAATATCTGATAGGCCAGTGAAGCTTTATATCAGTTTATACATATTCCTGATAAGTTATTTTGAGAAGTAGCGTAAATTCTTCAAATATAAAAATTAAATTTGTATACAAGACCGAATATAGCATAAGGAATAGATACAAGGAAGAGACGCGATATCACTATCATTGCAATCCGAAGTGAGCTTCGGGTTCTGAGCCGGTTAACAGTTAAGTACCAATCGGGTAGAAGGGGGCAAAGAGACGAATGTCGCAAGTTCAAGGGCGTGCCCAACCGTTTTGCACATTTTTGTTCTGTGCTGCTAATTTGATTTGCCCTGTCTTGCCCTATCGTGCCCTGTCCAGGCCAGCCACAACCCCATGCATTGCGGTTAGTTTCGCATTTTTCTTGGTTACTCTCTTTTCTTTTATTTCCTTTGCTTTTCGTTCGTTTCAAAAGAAACCCTGAGACCAATGCACCCGCACACAACCACAAGAGTTAACTGTTTTTTGCACGTTTGCACGCGAGTGTGCGTGTGTTTGTGTTAGTTTGCGTTTGCATGGAATGGCAAAATCACGTAAACAATGCGTCAGGCATGCATATTTTTGTTAATCTTGCATTTCGCTTTGATGCCAACAGTGTCTTTTTGTCACTGGGCCTCGCCCTCATTTGTTATTATTTATTCAATTATGCGCTTTCTTTTTCCATATTGTATACAATTTTTGTTTTGTTTTCACGCACCACATACATACTCTCGCACATATACACAAACCTAAATACACACACACACGTATACATTTGACACTCGACGGGCCCGTTGTTATTGCAGTTGTATTTGCAATTGAGTTTGTATTTGTGTTTGTGTTTGTATTGATTGCCCCAGACTCGATTGCATTTCGTATTTAGCTGTTTTATGTTGCTTCACTTTATGGCCACTTGCCTCAGCTGGTGTCTAATTATTTATACAATACAATTTGTGCTCATTCAGCAAAATCCAATAGACAGAGGGTGGAACTGGAATGCGCTTCGAGCCAGAAGCAAAAAAAAAAAAAAAGAAAGCTGCCTGCCACTAGCGAAGTCAATAACACCTTTGTTTTTGCAGTTTTCTGTCTCTTTTGATAAGCCAAGCACACAGGCACACACACATATTTGTATACATGTATACAATATTTAGTCCTCAATAAACATTAGTATGAGTCCTTCTTTTTACCTTTTCGCTTAAACCAATGCGCACAATTACGCGTTTGGCATAAACAAATGCCTTTCTATTTTAATTCTAAAATTTACAAAAATTCACCGTACCGACGACGACGACCGATCGGCCAGTGTGCACACAACTGCTGCTTAGAGGTGGCCCGATACTTACATACAGTTATCGATGTTCGCTGTTGGACCAGTGTGTACAGACTGCTAAGCAAATAAAAATGTTATTGCAGTGCTGTAAGACGCCTATAAATTTCCCCTGCAGATAAGCTCGATAAAATTTTGTGGATTCGATTTTAAAAATGATCTTTGTATTTATTATTTTTCGAATAAAATGAAATCAGGTTAATTTCTTTAAGATAGCAGTTCTGATCCAAAAACATAAAAAACAACTAATATTACACTGATTATAGTATAATTTAAGTATTAAGCTTGTTTGGGTTTGCTTTTATCGCTGTTAGGGTCCTTCCAGGAAGAAGTATTAAGCTCGATATGATAAGATTTAAGCGCCGAAACGGTTTCTGGAGTTGGAATGGTCACCCCAATGGTCTCAAAAAGGTTCTTCGAACTGATGACATTTTGCTTGGCCATCTGATAGTCTCCAGAATCGAAAAATTTTGGCTTTCTCTGTAACCGCTTCGCGAGGAAAGCTGATGGACTAACAGGCTTTTCAATGCTCATATAGCAAGGATCTTTCGAATCCATTTGGTGATCTGCGACTATCTCTAAGTGAGGAAAATTATTTTGCTTCTGGGATTGACTACCGTAGTTATTTTCAGTTGAATCCATGCCGCTAAGTCAATTGAATAAATTTTGTATCGTCGAAATACACATATATTTATTTAAACATATACATATGTACATAAATTTGTCTATGTAAATAAATTTGACGTTGAAGAAAGCGACTATATCAGTCGATTGTCATCCTGGCATAGCATGCTGAGTGTTGCTGTGGATGAGTCATATCGTCCAACCGCCATGGTGTTTCGACAAGCCACCACAATTTAGACTTCGTATATCGCACGAATAAAAAAGTGAAGCGTAAAAACCAAACGGTGCATCTACATGGAAAATTAAGTGTGAGTGCGTGTGTTGATGAAAAAATAAAACTTCAACATACATATATTATGCGAACCAGGACAAAAGAAAACTTTCGATCAGTTCAACAATTGCGTGGAGAATCCGTATCGAACTGTGTGTGTCCGAAACCACACATACACACAAGCTCTCAACACTCTCACTCGTTAACACACAACAGAAACAAAAACAACATACGTGAGTGTCGCTGCCGTCACCGTCACCATTCAGCAGCAGAGTCTGCCTTTTACATTTCTGAAAAAAAGTAAAATCAAATGCAAAATCGGTTCTTTTGAACGATTAGGTGGGTTCAAAATTTTTAGTGGCATTTCAAATGCAAGTGTTTTATGCCAAATTCCCCCGAACAGCCGTGGCCTTTGTTATTGTTGTTCGCTCGCTCGCTTACAGATTTTTCGTCGTCGTCGTTGTAGTCAGTCGCCGTCGTCGTTAACAGTGTTGTCTGCCCCCGATGGTAATCTATCTTTGCGTGGCTGTATGTGTGCGTGCATACATATATGTATGTGTATGCACATATAAATAAACGTATGTGTACGTGCGTGCGTGTATATATATATATATATATGTGCATTTGTTAACTGTATTAGTGTCTAGACATGTTGCTGACAAGGCTGCAAACTCGAAAAGTTTTGCTTGCGGTTCGGTTTGCCGGTTCGAGCAATTGTTTGGACTCATGCTCAGACTATTGTTTTTTTTTATAGAAATTGAAAGGGTACTGCTGCAAAACATGATCGTCATTAAATAGTTAATATGTCTACATAAACAATTCTCATGAATTTATGTACAGGTTTGCGTGTGTGTGTCTCTGAGCGAAGTGGCTTGCAACTGGTTCGGTTCAGGGAGTGAATCTATTCCGAACCGGTGTGCATTTTATTCATTTTTGTTGTTGATCACTTGATGCGCCGACCTACACGCACACACACATGTACTCTGGCACACAGAAAGAAACGATATTGTGTACATACATATGTACATATGTATTGTCTGTCGAGACATGTTCGCGTCTCACCCGTCAACTGCCCTCGGCCGGCCCACACGCTTTTCTTTGGTCGCGGCCTCGCACTTTGCATTGCAGACAGACAAACAAACATGTGTGCACGAGTGTATACATATGTATGTATGTGTGTGTGTGTGCTTGTATTTTGTCGATTTTATTTTATGTACATTTGTTTACAGTTTTAGATAGCGAAATTTGTACAGCCGGCAGCGACCGCCAAGGCACGGAGTTGACATTTTCGCAAATTGCAAATGAATATATTTTTTTTTCAGCTGCGATCATTGCCGCACTCTCTGACACACACACACACATGCACACGTGCCCCTCGCACCTTTATCGCTCGCTGCGATCGCCACCAGCGGGCAACACAGCACATGCGACATGCAAGCATACAAATGTACATATATACATATATATATATGTATATGCATGAATACATATGTACAAGCACTAGCACGTATGCATACATATGTATGTATGTAAATATGTGCGTACATCGGCATGCATGTATGTATGCGTGTAAGTTCATGAACAGCAGTGATCCGCCGACTTGTTTTGATTTAATTTCGCGGTAAATGCAATCGCGAACAATTTTGCTCGTATCGCTTGTGCCGACCGCTTCGCGGGGAATTTGTTTGAAGCTGAAATGGCAAAAACAACAGTAATAACAACAGCAACAGCTAAATCAAGAACAATTGCGACAGTCGCGCTGCCAATATGCTGGCGCCTCTACATGTGGGTCGCGCAATGACTAAGTGAAAGAGAGCGCCAGGGCAGTCGCCGCCGTCATCGTCGTCTTCGCGCCAGCCCTTTTGCGAACGGAAATATCGTAAATGCTCGACTTTTTTTCTCTTTTTATTTTTATTATTATTTTTTCGAATGATCGATCCTATTTTAAGCAGTTTTGCAGCTGCTTCTACTGCAGCTGGTGACGCAAGCGGCAACAATAACAATAACAATAACAACGACAACAACAAAGGGCTGTGCAATTTGCCATAAACACGCCAAAAGACAATAACAAAATATGCATATGCATATTTGTACATTCATATGTATGTATATGCGTATTAGAGATGAGTGCGTGCTGTATACTTTCCGTGACACGAAAAATAATTTAAAATAAAAATTTGTCATTTTCATGTTTTGTCGATTTAAAATCTAGTATACCTAATTTGTACGATCACGGATTTTAAAATCATTCATATTTTTGTTGAAATTTGCAGGGACTTTTTAAGTTTCATCACGTGTCCATCTCGAAAGTGTATATAGTTGTATTTATGTTTAAAAAAAAAGTGGATTATGCACTCGCAAAAATGCTAAGAAACACTAATACTTTTTTGTACTATTTAGACCTGTGCATTTTTTAACAAGTGCCGTCATTTTAGAACTGGGACTGAGGCGTGCGGAATTGGTTAGCTTGGTACACCCGGAACTGGGAACAGCCTCAACACGAATTACTTACCATTTGCGCTGCAGAGGAGATCGACTGTGGTCGCCAGCGCCGCACCTAGATCTGCCTCAATAACGCCCACACCAACAACTTTAGCGATCACTGGTGGTCGTTTGGGATTTAATTTCAGCAGGAATAACACAAGCAACAGCAACGCCAGCAACAACAACAGCAACGGTAGCAACAGCAACAACATCAACGATTGCAACGTGTCAGAACTGAGCGACGCGCTGCTAAACAACGAGGTGCGCGCTATCCGGTATCCCATAGTGACGGCAACAGAAGCCATCATGTCCTTGACAGCAACGGGCACATCGCCCACCAGCCCCAATGAGTCCTACGTTACGGCCAACCCACAGATCGTGAAAGAGGGCTGGCTTTCGAAGCGCGGTGAGCATATCAAGACTTGGCGCCAACGCTATTTTGTCCTGCGCGACGATGGCTCTCTGGTGGGTTTTCGCAGCAAGCCGGTTGATTATACATCGCCGGAGCACGTGCTCAACAAATTTACCGTGCGCGGTTGCCAAATCATGGCCGTGGATCGGCCAAGGCCCTTCACATTCATCATACGCGGCCTGCAGTGGACATCGGTAATTGAGCGCACCTTTGCTGTCGGTTCGGAAGAGGAACGCCAAGGCTGGACGGAGGCTATACGTAATGTGGCCAGCAGGCTATGCGACATGAGCGACACGGCCATGTCTCCATCAGCACAAACAGATATGAGCGATGTGGACATGGCCGGCATTGCCGAGGTGGAGCTGTCCGAACAGTTCTCATTGCAAGGCACTACACGCAACAGTAGCGGCGTTAAAAAAGTGGTACGTGCATGGGAAAAAGACTCTCCCATTCCTATCCATATGTACATACATATATCTAATAACTCACATTTCATTTAGACTCTTGAGAACTTTGAATTCCTTAAGGTGCTCGGCAAAGGCACCTTCGGCAAGGTAATTCTCTGCCGCGAGAAGGCTACTGCCAGACTGTATGCAATCAAAATTCTCAAAAAGGAGGTGATCATACAAAAGGATGAGGTGGCGCACACACTCACCGAAAGCCGCGTGCTAAAGTCAACAAATCATCCGTTCCTGATTGTAAGTGTTATTCTATTTTATCATATCGAATTAATTTCAATAACGAAATGTGAAGCGTCAAAGCAGGGGAATTTCGATTTGTTTGCCTTGACATGTGCTTTGCGATTTTACTGTTTCTTATGAAAAGTAAACACAACATTAAACGTAAAAGACAAAATTAGGTTGCAGCAATATTTGAATCTGGAAATTATTTGGATATGAATAGCAAGTTGTGTACATACATAAATACATAAAGCATAAAGCATTTCATCAAGAAATAAAGAAAAGATTTGTTAGATTATAATATACAAAGACGACGTAACTACGTCTATTAGTTCTTATAGTTATAGGTTTATAATAGGATAGTTATAATATCAGTATAGAGCGTCCTCCACATAAAATTATTAATTTATAGAGGTGGAATATTCTTCACGATACGATCACTCTGGTACTGTTGCAATCAAATATATATTCAATTCTGCAAATTTATTTATGTGGAATAAAAATTAATGAGTGTAGCGTCGATCATTTTAAAATTTGACTTTATCATTAATAAATGTATCTAATGTAAATGCTCTTCTGTTCTCTTTTTTTGTAGTCACTGAAATATTCATTTCAAACCAATGATCGTCTCTGTTTTGTCATGCAATATGTGAATGGTGGCGAGCTGTTTTGGCATTTGAGTCATGAGCGCATCTTTACAGAGGAGCGAACACGCTTTTATGGCGCCGAAATAATATCGGCGCTGGGATATTTGCATTCGCAGGGCATCATTTATCGTGACTTAAAGCTGGAGAATCTTTTGCTGGACAAAGATGGCCACATTAAGGTAGCGGACTTTGGGCTGTGCAAGGAGGACATCACTTACGGTCGTACAACGAAAACGTTTTGTGGCACACCGGAATATTTAGCCCCCGAAGTATTAGATGATAATGATTATGGGCGCGCGGTGGATTGGTGGGGGACCGGTGTGGTTATGTATGAGATGGTGAGCAAACGACTACATAAAATTTTGATGTACACACATCTATGAACAAGTATATTTCTTAAATTTGCAGATCTGTGGAAGACTACCATTCTACAATCGTGATCATGATGTGCTTTTCACGCTGATATTGTTAGAAGATGTGAAATTCCCACGGAATATAACAGAAGAAGCAAAAAGTCTATTATCTGGTCTTCTGGCGAAGA